TTATCCCCGACTGTCGTCCGTCGCTCCTCAGAACCGACCTTGGAGGTCGCTGTGGACTCCCCTCTCTTCTCCTTGAGCGTGTCTCTCAAGTCGCCTTTTCGGGCCGACCGAGTGTCCTGCAACCTTTCGAACGCAGAGGTCCGAGGTTTCTTCGACTTGGGATCTCCCAAACGGTCAAAAGCAGACATCCGCTCGAAGGAGGACGACTCGTCCTCTTCTTCCAGCCTGGAGAGCGCATCTGCCATCATAGCCTTCCCATTGGGCTTGGTCGCCTTCTTCTTCTGGGACCGCCTCACTTTTTTCTTTTTTCCTTGGGAGCCCGCAGGTCCAGCCTTCTCGCCTGTGGGTCCCCCAGCCACATCTCCCACCACTTCCTCGCGGTTGGGCGCAAGTGCGGCCAGCACCTCCTTGAATTGTTCGGTCGTGATCCCAACCCTCTGAATGAGGGCCTCAGCCTCCCCGGTGGTGATGGGGGGGTGCCGACCTCCGGTGGCGCTGTTCTCCCCCTGTTGGGGAACTCCGGTACCTACGTTGGCGTTGCTACGTGTTTGCACCATCGTCGCTGTGGAGGATTTCTTCCGAGTATGATTCTCGAACTCTCAATGAGAGCACCAATTTGATGGACAATAAATCCACCAAATGATCCGATTTACAGAGCGGATCGCAAGAACAAAATTAAGAACAAGAATTCGAGAATTGGATGTGTATTACTAGCTTTATTTAGCTCTCCCTCTCCCCTTTCGGGTCCCTTCTATTTATACACGAGCTCTCAACAATTAAGGTGAAGCGTAACCGATGGAGTTTAGCCCGCCAAGGGCGCGATCCCCTTTTTCCGGCTCCGTAACGGCCAATCAGCTCCGTCTCCTTCTCCGGACTGACTCTGTCAGCTGCGCTTGGCCTGAGGTTAACTAGGCCCAGCTCCTTGGGCCGGCCCAGCTTGAGTGTTCCACAGGTGCTTGACCCGAAGCTGTTTAAATGGTTGATTTGGGCCGTCCTCTGGATATCGGCCCATCAGTAGGAAATCAACACCAGAAAACCCAATAAAATATTACGAACCAATAACCATAATAGAAAGCAAAACAAATTGTCCTTAGTTTTGGCCCTTGCTTAGGTGCAAAAGCCATTATCAACACAATAATATATCCAATTTTATTGCCTTGGCTAACATTTAAGAAAAATATTTAGCACCAAAAAAACAATATCTAAAACTAGTCCCAACAACTAGTGACTAAGCCAACCATCAATGCAGTATTGACCAACAATACAAGGGACTTTAGAATACACTTGATAAGGCATAAATCAATGTGCATACCCAATTAAAAACAACATCAATGACCATTATAAAAAATGAAGCTCAGCCCCAAAGATCTGATGGGAAGGTGCAATGTTTAATAATGACGTGGCACCCTATCAGCCAAAGAACATCACTGGTGTCGAACTTTGAATTCCAACACCAAAACCCTCTTGCGTAACACCAACCAAAAATCATTTGTAGAAACATTCTATTGACACTTCTCGATCTTAAACATGCACTTTCATTTTTCCTGTTCAAACTACATAGCGAAAACTCATTAAAGTACATGGTCCATAGCAATTGGTCAGTAAGAGCAAATGCCATTGTTTCAATAAACTGGCTAACGAAGAGATTTTGTATACGCGATCATTGTCATTAAGGGCAATATGTGAATTATAAATGATTACATTTTGAAAAATTATAGTGTACATACAAAGATGGTGTATTAAAACACAAGTCATAGCTACTTAAGCATTTTTTAAGAGGCAATTATTTTAAAGACCATCGAACAACTCACTTTTTACATAAGATCCCTAAATTAAAGATGGTAACATCATTCTTGTTTTACAGCAAGTACGATAAGTTCAACATTAATCACAAAAGAACCTTAGCATGAGGACAATTCCATATAAATAGCTTTTAAGAATATTTTTTTAATGGCAGAGAGCACACAAATACAAAATGTGAAATTTGCACTAAATAGGACTTAAGCATAAGTCTTTTCTCAAAATAGGACTTAAACTTTTTTATTCCCTAAATAGTACTTAATAATGTCTAATGAGAGAATTAATGTCTAGTGATGGTGGATATTTACTTGAATAATGACTAATGGATAATGACCAATGGTCTTACATTGGGAAATAAAAACATATGGAAATTTGCACTAAATAGGACTAAAACATAAGTCATTTCTTAATATAGGACTTGAACTTTTTATTCCCTAAATAATACTTAATAATGTCTAATAAGAGAAATAATGTCCAGTGATGGTGGACATTTACTTGAATAATGACTAATGGATAATGACCAATGGTTTTACATTGGGAAATAAAAACATATGGTCCTATATTGAAATAGTCATTATGTTTTAGTCCTATTTAGATAAATTCCCCATACAGAATTGAGGCAATATACACTTAGAGGGACAGTGGATAACACCTTAACACTTTAATGCAAAATTTATTATGTCATAATAATGACTAAATTCTTACTATAATGCTTTATCAATGCAAAATTTTTAAGGAAAATGTTTATCTTACCTTTAAGGGCAGCAGTTAAATGAGGCTTATGCACAATGCTCTTATCGTTATAATGTCTAAATTATTACGAAGACATTATGTGCATGGACAATGTCTAAATGAAACCAGTTAAGACTATCTTTTTTATCACAACCATACACAAAGACCTTACTTTCTTTAATTCTCAATGGTTAATCATACTTTTATACTCTCCCTTCAGTAATTGAAAGTAAACAATAAATTAAAGTATTTACAAACCCTAGATAAGGCCTCACGAGCATAGTTGTATGGTTAAAGGCGGATTATTAATCTTTGTGCTCGAAGCAAGTCGCCATTAAATCTCCTGCCTTCCTCAACTTTGCTTCTCCAAATTTCTTCAAAGCAGATCTAAGTACTTCACCTTGAATGAAATTATCCAAATTTTGATTCAAATAAAAGATTGAAGTGCATGTAATGAACGATATAAACCTTGTTAAAGGAGATCTGGTTATACTATGCAATTGGTATTTGATTTCTTCCTTTTCAGATGCCGTAAAATAAGCCTGCAATTTGGGATTAAGTTTTTTTATTTGTTTCTTTGGAAATAAAAAAAGGGATTTGGGATTATTGCTACGGAGTATGAAATAGATCGTAGGGTTAATTTTGTTCTTTGCCCTCATGAAACATAATAATCCCAATAGGACTAGTCCTATTTAAGGAAAACTAGTATCTTTTCGTCCTATTTGAGTAATTTACTCAAATAAAATAATAGATCTCTATTAAAGTAGAATAGAGTTAAGAGTTCCAACGGGATGAAGCATTTTTCAAACTTCAACTTTGGGATCGTACGGGGTAGCGTTTCGATATCAAACTATAGATCTCTATTAAAGTAGAATAGAGTTAAGGGTTCGATTTCTAATGACGAGATTTTAAACCTTCAATCCTAAAACTAAAGAATTCACCTAAAATTAAGGTGGTAAAAAACAAATTCAATTTTGATCTCAAACTTAAAACTGTTGGGCCCAATTGTCTTTAGAGTCAGGCATAGTCTTAAGCCTCTATTTTTTAGATATAAAAATGAGTAAATTTCATAATTGGTCCTTTATAATAAAAGAGTTTCCATATTTAGTCCTCTATTATTAAATATTACTCCCGCAGTCCTTTTTTAAGGGTGCCTCTCCAAAAATGGTCCCTTTTTTAATCTTCTGTCATGTTGGTGTTAATTTGAAGGCTAAAAGTATAATTTGACATCAACATTATGTCTAATGACGTGTTTTGATATTGGTTAAGCGGATAACACAAAAATAATGACTATGATTGTGAGCTACGATTCTGACAAAAAACCACATTTGTAGACTATGGTTGTAGTAGAAAGTGACTGTAATTCACAAACGACGCAAATGGAACAGCTTTTGGAATTGTGTATGACAAAAAAGATGTATTATCATTGTGAAATTACATTTTTAGCCCCCAAATTAACACCAACATGATTGAAGATCAAAAAAAGAACTATTCGTGAAAAAATACTCATAAAAGGACTACTAGCGTAATATTTGATAATAAAGGACTAAATAGGGAAACCCACGTGTTATAAAGGACACTAAAAATGACATTGTCTGTGAATTTGCACACACGGACTATAATTGTCTGCAAATTTTCAGAGTTGACAGACGATTACGGTCTTTGTATGTACAAATTCACAGACAGTTGTCAATGTTGGTGTCATCCGTAGTACATTTCTAGCATGACCATTTTTAGATTATAGAGGATGCATGCATTAGAGTTGCCCTTAGACCCTAAAACAAAGATGCTCAAGTCAAATTAGGTACTTTCCTATACAGTATGCTATTTAAAAAATTGTCAAAGTAGAATTATACAAAAAGGTAGGGTTACAACACCTCTATACCTCGCAATTGACACCATGAATGACACGAATATGTGAATTTGTTTAGACGAACAACAAACCCGTTTCTGAACATAGACATTTGCAATATGTGTGAACAAAGTCATAAACAAGATCAATGCCAATCGCGGGATATTGTAGCACGATTGTGAAAGAAGTAAAGGTGTAAGAATAAAAATGGATCACTTGCTGAATAAATTGACATGTTTAATCCATTCCTCATTTGAGTTTTCACTGTCAATATTTGTGATCTACAATGTCAACTTTAGATCACTATTGTTTTTGATAGATCAACCACACTTTCGCCCTTTATATGTATGTCCCTTCCTCATTTCCCAAAGAGATTGGAATTATTTTAGAGTCACAAGAACAAAATTACCCAAACAGTCACCTGGCTAGGATCCATATCATCTTACAACATGCTTCAAAACTACAGGGTGAGTTCTTATTACCGAATCGAACAAAGATGAAATCATGACATTAGAGCAGTAAAAGAGATGAGACTATGGAGCATACGCCTGGAGAGCCTCGCCCGAAAGCCTGCAAATGCGCCATTCTTGGTGCACGTGGGCCCCCATTTGCTCGTAGAACTTGATCGCATTCACATTCCAATCCAGCACCACCCATTCCACCCTCGAAACCCCCATCCTCGCCGCCTGAGCTGCCACCGCTGACATCAGCATCCGCCCGAACCCTTTCCTCCGGTAGGCTTCCCGCACAAATATGTCCTCGATGTAGAACCCGGGCTTCACCAAGAATGAGGAGGGTTTGGGGAAGAACAGGGTGTATCCGGCTACGGTTACGTCATTCAGGCCCATTGGCTGGAAGGTTTTGGCTTCCGGGTCATTGATTGGGAGATCTAGGGTTAGGGTTTTGTGAATTGGGGAGAAATTGGGGGTATTTGCTGCGGCGGGGGCGAGAGGGAAGGGGTTGGGGGAGACTTCGAGGAGGAAGACGGTGAGAGAGGTGAACGGCGGCGGCGCGGGGTCAGACTCCGGGAAGATGGCGGAGGAGAGAGAGGCCTCGGTGGAGAAGAATTCGTGGGTGAGGCGCTCGAAGACCGCCAACTGGTAGGCGAGCTTGTAAATGAGGGGGACGTCGGCTGCGGTGGCGAGACGGATGCGGGTGAAGAGAAGTTGGGAGGTGGGGAGCAGGTCCTCCTTTAGGACGTCGGGGACGGCGGTGGGCGGAGGCGGTGGAGCAGCTGCCGCCATCCTATCAGTCTCTCAGTC